ATAAGCTCTTATGCTAACTAACTATGATTTTTGTGGTGTGAAACAGTACCAAAAAAATTCAAAGGGGAAACTGAAAGGACTATAAATTTACGTACAAATAAGGTGTAAGACATTGCCTAACATTTTAAAGTTTCGTGTGGAGCCTATCTGGCATTTTTATTTATTAACTGTCCCGCATGATGCGTGTCCCTTTAACACGTGTGTGTTGCCTTGACCAGAGGCCAGCTTAAGCACGTGCTGCTCAGCTTCCATCAAATAAAACCCACCTAACCCACTTAACCAAAAGCAACAGATTAGCACGGCACACACACACACACACACACACACTATTTCTATATATACACATGCATGACTAAGTGAGTGTGTGTGTGGGTGTTTATATTGTGCGTACTTGCGGTGGCTTTTGTATCATGTTACTCACACATTGTTCTTCAACACTGGCCATGAGTTGGAGTTTTAGCGTACTGGTCGCGTTTATTTTTAGTTAAACGTCGCTTATCACTCACTTTCTAGCCCCGGCTAGCCCCTTGTCGGCCAGTTTGTTTTGGCCGACACAATTGACAGCTTTGGGCAGCCCAAAATGGCAATTATGACGCTTGACTTGTATTTATGGGCTTATTGAACTTATTGAATCCGTTCTCTTTGGGCTCGGGTCCTCTCCAAACTTTATAAAGCATACAACATGCTTTGCTCACTTAAAGTCATGGTGTGGGGAAATTGTTGAACATAATTTTGTTTTTATATTTAACAAGTTTTGTTTTTGTGGCATGGAAATGGAAAACAGAATTTCTTAGAATTTATTTCCATGACAAAATTAGGTCAACTGCGACATTTCGTTATAATCTACGTCATTTGTGTACAATACAGATGTGAAAGGTCCTTCAGATCAGTTCTCATTATAATTTTATTCCACAAAACGCAATTATATTTAACGGATTGTAAGGTTGATGTATCTTTGGTGTATACATTTTTTATAAATTTAATTAAGTAAACTACTTTTATAATTACAAAATATTCAAATTTCTGTTGCACGAATAAAGGGTATCACAAAATTCAGTTTAATTCTGACATTGTTTTGTTTAGGCGCCCGACATCCGTATACAAATGCCATTTTTTTTTTTTTGGCTAATATTCTGTTCAAGGTTCTGCGATGTCAGCTGTTTGTGGTAGCTTTCACATCCCACATGGAAATGCGCGACAAAACAAATATTTTACGGCCTTTTGAGGACGGGAAGGGTGCGACAGGGAGGCTGAACGCCAACTCTGCGGCGCGTCGTTGAGTCTAACAATTTCGCATTTTCAATTTCAGGGCCAACAACAAGTGCGACTACCAATGGCAACAGTTGGGTGCTGCTTGTTGTTATACCCTGTTAACGAAAATGTATAAAGTAGGGTGTGTAAATGCAAACAACTGAAATATTAAACAAAATTTGCATAGATGTTCGCGACATCCTGCTTGGGCTTAAAATATAAATATAACTATTATAATATAAGAATTATTATTATTTTTTGTTTAAGTAATTTATAGATACATATTAGTGCCATTTTAAAATTGGCGTTAATTGATTATTTGCCAAGTTTTTGTCAACCATCTTAATTATGACTAACGAGCATTAGTCTGATTATAGGGTATCTTGTAGCACGGCACTGACGACCTGTGACATCTCTTGTGTAATGTTAACTCAGTGGTCGATTGTCGATAGCTGGTAATGAAGTGAAATGACAAGCACAAATGCGTTTGCAGAGCAGAAAAGTGGGCGAAGGGGCAGGGGACTGGGAGGCAACTCCAACAATCATCAACAAGAGTTGCTAGAGTCGCGTCCGCAACTGCCGCGCTTCCCATGACCTTAGCCAAAGTGGAAAACGGAATTGCTATGCTGCCATAACAACCCCAACCGACTGTAGAGCTGTGCCGCTTCATTGACGAACTGCCGGCGCAGTTGTTTTGGCTATTGATATTTTGTTATTGGTCAGTGGTTAGGTTGATTTATTTTCAATGGCATTTGAGCGGCATAATCATTAGCGACGGGCAATGCGGGCACGGCACGTGCTAGGCAACGAGACGCAACCCAATCTCAGCTCAATTTACGGGGTGAGCCCAGAGCCAGGTCCGCATGAAATGTAGCACGCAATATGTTTTGATAAACATAACATTACAGGTCATCAACCCGATGTCAGACCCCAATCCAAAATTACAGACACGAGCATATTTACCCAGCTACACCATATTCCTCTTTCAAAAGAGTGAACAAGTTTTCAATTCAATGTCTATGCCAAGGTCCCATTGACTACATTCACGGGTCCTTGGGTGTTGCCTGTCGGCATTAGGGTTGTTCACAACAAAATCTTTTCAACCTTTCTATTGCGTAATTGCACAATTTGTGCTTGCTTTGCAGAAACTACGAAAAGTATTCACAACGAAGTTGATTTTATTATTGAAAACAGCTCAACTAATTATTATTAACTATCTGATTTACTTTAGTTGAAATCAAAAATTCATTTTAGCATTTTTTTATTAACTAGCTGTTAGATATTAGACATGCAGATTAATTTAGCGTTGGCGACTGTCTTTTCCCCAACTTTAGTTTTGTTATTGGTAGCTGTTGTTGCTTAACATAAGGGTAAATTTGAAAAACAAACCTTTTTTCATTTGGTTTTTTGTGTTTCTGAACGTATGCAAATGTCTTGCTTCCCCTTTCTTTCTTGTCATCTTACTTGTAAATATTTAAAATGTATATGGAATCGCAGTGTTGCCATCTTCATATACATAATACGATATTATAAAGTGCTGAATTTAATGTGTAAAGCTTAACATGAGCTTAGTTTGGCTCCATATAAATCAGAGCTTAGGAAACTACTTACAAATCGCACTTGAATACCCCTAATGCTTGCGGATGGTAGATAATATTTCCCAGAACTCATTAGTGTGTGTAACAGTTGCTGCCGTTGTTTACACCTTGCTCGACTGCACCACCTGTTCAAGCCCCACCCCGCTGACCGATTCGCATCCCGACTACGTTCGGGATAGCGTGTGAAAATGCGCATATTATTTTATGGGCTAAAGAAAAGCTATCGCAGTAATTAAATTGAAATCAAAACAAACTTTTTGCCATGCAGCAGACGCCGCACAGACGGCGACTCTGTGGATCAACTAATGGAGCTAAGGGTGGCTGGACAGTAGCGAACTTTTTGGGATGCTTTAAAGCCATGGCAACAGATACTTGATGCACATACTCGACATGGACAGAACCACTCGATGCGTTACGTATGCGCCAGGTTGCCGTGTTGGTATTGGTTCATTAGGCACGCGCGCTTCCCAGTTGTTTCCATGGCGGCTTTGGCTTTGCTTTTGTTTGAGCTCCAAATCCATCTAATTAAAATCTACGCAGCAATGTTTTAAGTCGCAAAAGGTAAAGTCTGGCCCGTCCTGGCCCGGCCAAGTCTACTAGCCGTGCCATAATCAGCATGCATGTGGCTGCTACTCAGCTGACGGTGGCGCGTTGTCCTGATGAATATTTATCAGCACAGCAGACATTAATACTTATGTATACACAGTTGCCGTGTGTGCTTGTGTGTGTGTGTGTGTGTGTGTATTCACAATGCATAAACACCAACACAAGCCTTTGAACCATTCGTGTGTTGGTGTGGACAGAAGTAATTATAATACTCTTTATAGGAGTATGCGAGACGATTCATTAGAGACAAGTCAAAATACAGAAAGGTACAAAAAATGCAGTCTAGCAAATGTCGTATGTCAATTCTTGGAAAACTTCCTGTTTTACGCTAACTTTGAATAAGAAGATAATGGGGATATATTAAGTTATATATGACTTTAGACAATAAGTCAAATCGATAGACATAGATTTCTTCGTGGTATTATATATAATTTTATAAATATTACTTTTCCACATATTTTCCACTTGTGGAAGTGGATTTTCACATTTGGTAGTACAATAATTGTACCCTTATTCCGTTGCAATCTCACTTAATTTTATAAAATCTGTTTAAATTTTCAATATGAATAAATTCTTGTATTGAAATTGGGAATTTGATTGGACATAATCGGTTGAATATACTTATTCTGTGCTTATAATGAATAAATTATGAATAGAGCTTGGAAATATTTATGAAATAATAACTGAAACCTTGGATATGTGAGCCCAAGTATTGCCTGAAGAGGCGCACTTAACGTTTGTCTCATGAAAGAAGAGGGTCTTCCAACTTACGTAAGGCAATTAAAGCTTCGGTCTTTTTTAATGTTTTTACACTACCATTTCAATTGTTTGCATGGCTGGCTGGGCAAACAGTGTGGACTGCTCGTATCAACTGAATGTCCACATGCACTTGTCCATAATGCCGGGCAGCACTTGTGCGTGGAGGGCCAGACGAGAGCGCGACTCAAGTGATAATTGATATTTCACTGTATTTATTTTGAAGTGTATTGCTTCCAAGTAATCTGCTGATAATTGTTGGGGCGTGGAGCGATAATCATTACAATGTTGATGATGATGAATAAGTCTCTGGCAACGTCCCTGGCCATGGCACTGGCCCTGGACGCCACGGCGGCGACGACGACGACAACGCAAAAAGTGTCCAATAAATGTTTCATAGTTGACGTTGTCGTTGTCGTTGTTGCTGGCATTGTTGACCTTATCAGAAGCGCAAACACACACATACGTATATCCATAAACAGAGGGTGATATAAAAAATACGCACACACACACACACACACACCCACGTCTATTGTAGTGCGCCTTGGCGTATACTATTAAATATTTGCTGCCTTTTGTTGCTGCCGCAGCTGAAAAGTATGCAATAATGTTTGGAGTTGAGCCAAAAATATGCGGCCAGGTCTCGGTCTAGTTTAGGTGCGACAGCTCGGATAACTATGCACAAATAAAAAACAAGCAAACAAGCTGATAAACTGCTGAGTACCCTGTACAATGCTGGAACACATTCAAAATCCATTTGCTGGGTAACTGTTTCTGCTTAATTCATAATTAATATTAAAGTCAATTTATATTTAACCTGATCTGAATACAAATACGATTTCTATATCTAAAGCTTTAGAGAATTATGAATTTTCCCATGGATCTGTGCTCATAATGGTTCTGCCTTTTGGAACTAATTGAAATATTAACTTTGTATTTATGTCTTTACCGACCTTTACGTCTAATTGAATAAAACTCCTCATCAGTCTGCTTTTAGGGTATTGAAAAGGTTCTTCCAGTCATTTAGAGCAGACGGCATTGTCACAGTTCAGGCCCAAGGCGCTCTAAGCCGATTCCCGGACGCCTTTTTGCTGACGTACTGTGCGTGCTTTTTCCTGGCCCAGCCATGAATGCCACCTCGCCCAAGTCCTCGCTGGTCAAACTGGGCCTGCATACCAGCAAACAAAAGACGCTAAAGGTCATGGTGCTCGGCCAGAGCGGCGTTGGTAAAACGGGTGGGTGTCATTTAAAAACAATGCTCCAGACACGGCCAGGACTAACACACTGCTCGCTGCTCTTTAATTTGCAGCTATGGTTGTGCGTTTTATTACACGCCGTTTTATTGGCGAATATGATCCGAATTTGGAGAAAATCTATACCTGCCAAACAACACTGGACAAAGAGTCGGTTCAGTTTGATATACTGGATGCCACCGGGCAGCTGCACGTGAGCTGGATTGAGAGAATCTTGAGAGGATTCATAATGAAATCTAACTGAACTCTTGCAGGAACTAGATGGCGTTACACTGGAGTCCAATATACGCTGGGCCGACGCATTTATACTCGTTTACTCGATTACAGATAAATGCTCCTTTGACGAGTGCAGCCGGCTGAAGTTCCTCATCAACTACAACAAGCGTAGACGCAAACTGGGCTCCGCCAGCAAGGTGAGCAGCTGGCTGAAAGAGATCACGTTGAGAGACGTTGCATTCTAGCTATATTTTTTTGCAGGATTACGCACTGGACATACCCGTCATACTGGTGGGCAATAAGACAGATCAGACTGGCGATCGCATGGTCAGCTTGGAGGAGGGGCAACGTCGCTTTCGTGAGCTCTCCTGCGCCTGTTTCCATGAGATTTCTGTCAGAGAAAACGTCGACCAGGTGCGTCACATTTTATATAATCCTTGTGATCCGTTAACCGTAAAACACACTCGTCTAGGTACAAAACGTATTCCGCGATGTGTTCCGCTTCTGGCGTGTGTTTAGCAAATTTCCAAAGCTCAAACGTTCCACCAGCGACGTGGCGCATGCCGCCGATGGCATCTTGACGCCCGATTCTGGCTCATGTTCCTTTTACGATGCGCTGCCGCTGGGCGTGGCTCGACGCTCGTTCCTGGTGATCGGCAGCGCCTGCCAAGAGGAGAGCGGCAGCGGCGATCACACCGAGTCCACGGATGACATAGCCAGCAGCAGCTTGGGCAGCTCTCGCAGCGATATCGATGCACCATTCCGTAATCGCGCCTCTACCGATGGCACACTGCTGTCCAGACCCAGACGTTGGCGCTATCCGCCTCCAGGTTGTCTAATGCCGCACACGAATCGTGTCGAGCGACGCATGAGCATCTCGACGAGGGGCAGCAATGCCAGCTACTGAACTGGTGTCCATTTAGTTAGTCCAAATGTTGCGCCAAATATATTTATAGCTAAATGTTCATATATTTAAAGCGAAAGCATTTATTTCGATTTTACGATTATCTGTAATGAGATTTATTTTTTAAATGGCTACTAAATATGCTCTAAAAACAAGCACGGCAATTTTTACCTGTCCCAAACATGAAAAGCAAAATATACTCGAAAAGGCCACCTCGTGGAAAGGCATATTATAAGAATGGAAAATTAGCCGAAAGCTATTGTAAGAAGCATTTTAGTTTTCTATATGCTGCACTTTAAAATCATTTCTAATATGCAAATTTATGAATGAAAATTAAGCGGAAGGCGAAAAGAAAACCAAACAAGAATCTTATGACAGGCGGACAGAGCTGGGCTATAATTGTTAGCCAAATTTAAGAATTAGAAAGTTTCTACTTTTACTCTAGTTGAGGGATTTGGAAAAATGCAATCTTGGAAAATTGTTGGAAAACTTGTAGACTTTGTTTTAGCTTCATGGAAGGCCCAGTGAGTGGACACGACTCATGATTAAATGTGGAACAAGAAAATTTCAATAATTTTTGTATAAATCATTTTCCAAAATGTAGCAATCCAATAATGCAAATTCTACCTAGTTTAAACTTACTGCACCTAATCTAATCTAATTTTGTAGACGCTTTTGGGCTACATTTATTTGCACTTGCAACAATTTGAACAGTGAACGCATAAATAATATGAAAGACATTACATAGGACATTGCAGCTGAGAGATACTCTCGGAGAGCCGGGCTAATCGTCGTCAATCTTAAGCATATACTCCTCGGCACGCAGGGCGAGCTCACGTATGTTGCGGAGGCAGCCAGCGGCGGCGAGTTGCAGCTCCTTGTTGGTGGAGCCAATGCACTCCAGCAGGAAGGGCACTACTCCGCTCTGTGGGAAGAAAGGATAACTCGTTAGCTGGGAATAGCTGAACCCGAGGCTATTTAATGCTCACCTGGTGCATGGTAATGCAGTTCTGTGGATCCATAGAGAGTTTCTCGAGGGCCATGGCCGTGGTGCGATGCACCAGGGGATTGTCACTGGTCATGTAGGTGACAATGGGTGTTACGGTGCGCAGACGTCCCAGCTCCTCGGTGTTGTTGCCAAAACAGGCGCACGCTGCGACGGCCGCTGCCAGATTCATGCGCAGCATATCGTCCGTGGTGTTGACCAGATCAGCCAGCTTGTAAATGACACGCAGATCTGTGAGAATGGCCAGATTGGTTTGGTCCAAGGCAATCGTAGCGATGGCCGCACACACCGCCGACAGCACCATGATTTCCTTGGACTTGAGCAGACCCACCACCAGCTCCATGGCGCCTACCAGGCTGCGCACCAGTTCCGCCGAGTCGGTGGCATTCTTCACGCAAGGACAAATCGCATAGGCGGCGTGGGCCTGCACTCGAGGACTGGTGTTCTTGAGCAGTGACCAGACCAGACGCACTGCATCCAACTGCTCCAAAATGCGCATACTCTCCGGATCCTCGGCGCACTCCTTAATCGCCTTGGCCAGGTTCTCGAGCAGCGGCGAATGCGAAGAGTTGAGCAGAGCAACCATGGCTGGCAGGCCGCCAGCATTGCGCACTTGGACACGATTATTTTGGAAGCGTACGCATTCGGACAAGGCGCCCGTGACATTGGTCAAGACCTCGTCGCACTCATCGGCGAGCAAGGCTACCAGATGATGAATGACATTCATGTCGTCCAATTGCTCGACATTCAAATCGGACATGGCGCACATCCAAATGGCGCCCGTTGCACCTCGGATCAGTGGCTTATTATCGCGCACTGTCTTGTCCTTGATGATGCCAACCAGCGGCTCCAGTCCGCCCGCCTCGCGTACCAAATCCCGGGTGGTTGCATCAAAGGCGCATTTATAGAGCGCCGTGCTGCCCTCTACCTTGAGATCAATGCACTCCGAATTCAAATGGTTAACAATATCTGCAATCATGCCCTCGGTGGTGATGGCCAGCTGAAATTTTGGCTCCGACGAACATTTTTGGACAGTGCCCATTATCGGTATGACCACATCGATATGAACGGACTTCAGCAGGTTGGCCATTAGGGGCACTATGCCACTCTTTCGCATCTGTTCCATATTGTGCTTGGAGTCGGCCAGCGTCCAAAGGGCACGTGAGCCGGCTCGGGCCATGTCCAGGAATTCGATTTCCTCAAGGGTAAGTTGACTGCGTGGCGTTTGCAGTATGCTGCAGCGGATCGGAAACGAAATACACACACACACACATATATAAAGATATATATAAGATTATTGATATAGCTACCTCATTATACTACCTCATTTTGATGTCCAGCAGATCGACCAGCTTGGAAATGCCGCCACATCGGCGCACATATTTGCGTGCCAGACGCACTTTGCTCACATTCGACAAGGTTTCGGCGGCCATGGTTTTCAAATCCTTCATGGACGAGCTCAGAATATCGACAATCAACGGTATCCCATCGAGATCTACAATCGTCTTGCGTATATCAATGTTCAGCGTTATATCGGAGAGTACGGTAAGTGCGCCCAGGCAGCATTTGGTATCGCTGCACTCGAGTATGTTGACCAAGACATCCAGTCCGCCAATGTCTTGGATAGCGAACTGATTGATTTGCGTGCGCAGATCGTAGTCCTGCAGGCAGCACAGGGATACTATTGTGGCTGTCTGATTGCCCGCCTTAATGTATTTGACCAGCTTCTGGATATTGTAGTATTCGGCGGGTATTTCGGCAGCTCGGGCCACGTCTTTCCAGCGTTCCTCCTCATCCGTTGAGGATTCCTCTTCTGTGGTATCCGAATCTTCGGCAACCACTTGACGCTTGTCCCGAGAGAAGCGATCTGGACAAGAGCCGCACTGTTCGCGTATCTTTCGTGGACGGCGTGGCGCACCGGTGCCAATCATCGTGGAATACAAGTTTAAAATACACTTATATTTAACTTGTCATATACAAGTGCTCAGTGATGGGCTTTTGCTGTTGTAGAAATTGCTTGTTCATGAATTTTTGTGTAGCTTGCGTAAAGGAATTTCAAAATCGTATAACAAAAATCGATTAAATAACATTTGTTGCCGGGGCAACGTTAACAAAGTTGTCGTACGTCAGTACGTGAAACAGCTTAACAAAAACAATAAACAATTGCAACTTTTTATACCTTTGCAGAGGATTTTATCGTAACGCATAGAAGGAGACATCTCCGACCCCATAAAGTATATATATTCTTGATCAGCATCAACAGACAAGTCGTTATAGCCATGTCCGTCTATCCGTCTGACCGTCTGCCCGTCTGTCTGTTTCTATACAAACTAGTCCCTCAGTTTAAAGCTAAGTATCTTTATGAAACTTTGCAGAAGTATCTCTTTCTGTTGCAAGCAGCACATATGTCCAAAACCAGCTGGATCGGACCACTATATCATATAGCTGCCATAGGAACGATCGGTTGAAAGTTAAGTTGTTTAGGTTAAAAAGGTGAAAATCTAAGTTTTGACCCAAAATATGTCGTTTTGAAACGACGTATCCCCTCCGCTTTTAAAAACGAAAATCATGCGTTTTTTACCCGAGTGGAGATATGTCGCTTCAAATCGACATAATCTCGCCATCAGGCGGAGTTATGTCGGTATTTCAACGTTATATGTAGGTGTTTGATTAAAAACCTTTTTTGTTTATCAAGATATCGACTCATTAAATGTGGAACAAGAAAACTTCAATGATTTTTGTATATTTTTGTAAGTCTAAATTTTGACACAAATCGTCAAAATGACATCACGTTTTTTTTTTTTCCAAAATTGCGGAGATGCGGACGTCTGAAAAAGAAATTATTCCGCGCGGACATATGATATGTCGTTTTCAAACGTCATATGTCCGCGTAGGATTTTGATTAAAGCACTTTTTTGTCGTTTCAAAACGACATATCTCCGCAATTTTGAAAATAAACGTGATGTAACCCCGTACCCTTTTCTTCAGCTTCACACTGGGCAATTATATGATTAAAATCAAATTTTCTTGGCTTTACAATTTGGTAACAATATAAGGATATATACTTTTTATACAAAGCATGCATTTCATGGAACAAGCAAAAGCAAAAATTACCTAGTCGGCAATTTAAAATGGTTCTTACAAAATTAAATATTTACATTTCCCTAAAGAAAATCGAGATCCGAAGGATCTGGCAAGGGTCTAATGCTGAAAATATCTAAACCGAAATGTACAAAATCCGTTCCAAGTTCTAATGCAATATCTTTCATAGCTAATCGTTTCTTTGGGTCCGTATTCCAGCAGTTTTCCATCAAAGATTTCAATTTATTGGAATTCGCATGATGCTCTACATCTGCGAGAAGAGGCCGTTCACCTAGAACCATTCAACACCTTTAACGAAAGTTGAGGTAACTTGACCAAAAGCTTACCCTGACTGATTTTATTCATGGTGGCAAGAGTTGGGAGGTTTTTCAAGTGATAGAACGGCCTTTTATGTGCCATCACCTCCCAGAGCACAATGCCAAAGCTGAAGACATCACATTTCTCCGAGTACATATGACTGATGGAAACCTATGTAAACGTACACCACTATTTAATCCACTCGCTCTCAGTCCAAGGTGTACAAACCTCTGGTGCCATATAGCAGGGAGTGCCAATTTCGGTCATCTTCTTCGAAGTAGCCTGTTCCGTGACTGCTCCAAAGTCGGCTATCTTTAAGATGCGGAAGTTGTTCGCAAGTAACAAGTTGTGTGGCTTAAGATCGCGATGTATCACTGGCTTTGGTTTCATGTCATGTAAGTAAGCTACACCCTGCAAATTATTTCATTCTTCAATGTCTGTGCAATGAAAATAACATCTTTTACCTTGGATAGTTGATGCATCCAATTGAGGGCAGCTAAGTACGAATAGTTTGGCTCTTGTTTTCTATCACGATACATGAAATTGTGGAGTGATCCACAATCTGCGAATTCCATCAAAATCAACGTGTTGCACTCTTTATCTTCCATAGTACAATAAAATTTGATAATATTCTCATGATAGGCGCTGGATAGATACTTCACTTCTCTTTCAATGCCCTTTTTGGCATCCGCATCATTTACAAAAATTCGTTTCAGCGCCAGCTGTGCTCCATTCATCTTAGCCTTATAGACAACGCCAAAGCCGCCCCGTCCAATTTTCTGAAATCAATACTTGAGTAATGAAATTAAGAAAATTGGTGATCAATACCTCTTCCACTTGTACATAGTCGATATGTTCTATTGCGTGTGCTTCAAAGGTTGGGATGTTGCCAAAATAAAGCCTAGGGAAAAAGTTTGCTCAAGTTATTTAAGAAGTAAGACGCTTTAGTCGGAAGTACCCGACTAGGGGATACCCTGAACTCTCTTCTATCAACATCAAATGCAGCTAGTTCTTTTAGATTGCTTAGAAATGAGGCAAGTTATCGGATATCGGAAACAAACTCGTACAGCGCGAACACTAGGATCACTAACATTAGAATATTCAAGACTCTAACTTTTAGAGGTTCTTTAATCGACGCGTTTATACATACGGACAGTCAGACGAACATGGCTAGATGGACTGATCTATAATAAGTATATACTTTATGATGTTGAAAATGTTTCCTTCCGCCTTTTACATACATTTACACGAAACCATTATATACTTTACCTAAATTCAGGGTACAAAAATTAAATGTAATAAATAAGTTGATAGAAAAAGCACCTGATAATTTTGCTGAGGCTCAATGAAGCAGTCTTCATAACAGACCCCTTATATTGGTCACTCTCCCAGCACATGGCAATGAGCGATTTTATATAGCTAGAGCCCAAGACATCTGCAACATAGCTTAGAGGTGGTTGAAGCTTAAAACCAAGCTTAATTTTGACATTCTGAAGGCCAGGAAATGAAGACAGTTCATTTTCACAAAATGGTTTACAGCGGGAAAGCACTTCCCAAAGCACTATTCCAAAGCTATATGCATCGATCTTCTCGCTGTAATATTTTATTGTGTATCTGTTCATATCATCGAATCCCTCATGGTCGATATATGATCTTGCCTCAGGTGGTATATACTGTTTTGGTACATTGTCATTGCCACTTGCTAACTCACCGATCTTCAAGCAGCGAGCGTTATCGGTTAAAAACAAATTCTTTGGTTGTAGGTTGCCATGGAATATGGGCGTCGGCGCTAGTCCATGTAAAAATGAAAGACCCTGCGGGAGCGAGAATGAAAAAGTTCCTCAATAAATGTAGTCGAATGTGCTTGACAACAAATATATGAAATGCACTCTAAAATGATGATAATATAAATGAGACATACCTCGGCACACTGGATCATCCAATGGAGCGCAATGTTTATAGAATATTTTTGGCTTTCTGGCCCATGAATATGGGTATCCAGGGATTGGCATTGTGCGTATTCCAAAAACAAGTACAGTTCTTTGTTTGATGACTCTGAAACCTCATAAAACTTCAGAATATTCTCATGGTCAGTGCTCAACAGGCGGGCGTATCTATTCCTGACCCATTCAAAATCTTCAACATTTTTATGATATTTTTTTACAGCAATTTGCTTATGATTCCAAAATGCTTTGTACACTGTAGAAAAATTGCCTTTCTTGATTATCTTAAATATAAAAGGTTATTTGTTTGTTAATTGAGTTATTGTTCTATTACGAATCATTTACCTCCTTCAGTTCAACAAAGTCAGCCATGGTTCAATGCTGGCTTATCGAATGCCAGATAGCAGAACAAATGTAAAGAGTTTTTCAGCCGGAAGTTATCACCTTACAGGTACCCTGATGCTTCTTCAATTTGATCTGTGCATGCCATAGGATGTCCTATATGAGATATCTATGACTACTATATCATATATCTGCCATAGGAACGATCGGTTGAAAATTAAGTTGTTTAGGTTAAAAAGGTGAAAATCTAAATTTTGGCAAAATATGTCGTTTTGAAACGACGTATCTCCGCCGCTTTAAAAACGAAAATCAGACTTTTTTACCCGAGAGTTGTTATCTAACAACATAATCTCTGTGCGGAGATATGCGGAACTATATCGCTTCAAATCGACATAATCTCGCCATCAGTTATGTCGTTTTTTCGACGTCATATGTCCGTCATGTGTCCGAAAGCTAGGTGTTTGATTAAAAACCTTTTTTGTTTATCAAGATATCTTGCCTCGGCATTTACTATTTTCCAGAGTTCGTAAATTTTGGTCCACACTTTCTGGTTTTCTGCAAAAAAAAAAAAAACGGTTTACTTCCGACAGAATCAATAACGGCAAGGGAGAACACCTGCATTTAGGTTTCTATTCTATTCAGTGCGTGCCGTAGGATGTCCTGTAATATCATTTTTACCCAATTCAACTCAAAAATATATAAATTAAATTGTTCATAATTTACATGCAAACTTATATAAAGTGTTCTCGACTTTTTCAAAACTAATGAGGTTTTTATATTTTTTTACCATACGAAAGCCAAAGTAACAAATTTGGCTTGATCAAAAGCGACTATGATCCGTTTTTTTGAAAATGAGACGTAATATCGCAAAATGAATTATGAGTTTCTCTTGGAATTGGTATGAGAGACTTTATATTTTAAATTTCGAGCCTTTAGTCTGGTTTTTTTAGGCGTTATACTTAATGACAATTCTAATACGTCTAACAATCAAAAATATCAAAAAAGATCATGCGTTAGAATTCACGAGTAGAAAATTAATACAAAACAGAATAATTGGTCTGTTCAGCTCACTTGTGCACGAATAACTAAAATAATTCCAACTTATTCCGGTGAAGGAGAAATAAAATTATCTTTGACAGGGTAAAAAAAAAGGTAACTTATCGCCAGGTATTCGATTAGTACTGACAGTAGTCAACTTAATTTAAGTCGATGGCACTTTAATGACCTCATGCCTTTGAAAATGGGGAAAAGGGGTATATAGTTTTGAGAGATGTTTTTTGAAGCATAGCTTAAATATCATAAGAGCTAAATACTCCATAGTTGTTGTGTAACTTCTTATATAGTATATTCATATTAAACATCATTTATTTTTTGGATACCTCCTCTATGCCCCCAAAATCAGACAATCAGCACCGATCTTATTTGCCATAATGTAGAGCAAGCCAAAGAAGTAGCAGCTAGGGTATGGAATCGGAGTAGCCTTTTACTAACTGACACAATGATTGGCACAAAACCTATATACCCTTTAAACTCATTCTGTTCACCGTATTGCAATACCAACTCAGAAAATATGATAACAATCAACTTCCTGTGATTTGTCAAAAGTTTGATTACTCTATTATCTTTGATAAGTGTAGAAGTTTTGACCTTGATAATGTCAAAGTAGTTGCGCTCGAGTGAATTGCATAAAGGAAGTGAAGTCACAATTTAAAAAGTTACTTTTTGCGTTTTTGGAAATTGCTTATAAAGTACAAAAACAGTAATAAGATATAACAATTTGTATTCGAATTGCAACAGGCAAACTCTTTCATAGACTTATCTGTCACAAAGAGATTACGCTCGTTCATAAGACTTTCGGATGGCAAAATACCTTTCTTTCTATTATTTTGTGGAATTTGCAAAATCGTTGAAAACCGTTGAAAAATCGCACAAAAAATCGTTGGCTCCAATCTTCCACCGATTTTGTATTATTCGTTTTGTTTTATTTTATCCAAAAACGTAATTTCCAGCTGTTTTACCTTAAAGTAGTTTGTGGAATATTAGCTCTGTAAATATAGCTTGTTCAGCTTTTCTTTCAACAAGTCCATAGTTGGTCGGCTTTTCGGAAGAATATTCCAACAACGTTTCAATAGTTTTTTTAATTTCTCCGCATTTTGGCAGTTTTCCACATCTTTTAGAGGAGGATGCTTACCTGTAGCGAAAGATGAATTGAAAAATGATTTGTTAATTTGCATGTTCACTTACCCTTACTAACTTGAACCAACATCGCGACTGGTTCATTATTTTCCAAGTGATAGAAGGGCTTTTTATGTGCCATTACCTCCCAAAACACAATGCCAAAGCTAAATACATCACTTTTCTCCGTGTACTTTTGGGCATTGATAACCTAATTAATGAACATTCTTGAACCTTCTCCTTTCCATTGCAAGGAATACAAACCTCTGGCGACATATAGCCGGGAGTGCCAATTATCATCGTCATCAAAGTAGCCTGTTCCGTGACTGTTCCAAAGTCGGCTATCTTTAAGGTGCGGAAGTTGTTCGCAAGTAGCAAGTTGTGTGGCTTCAGATCGCGATGAATTACGGGTTTTGGTTTCATGGCATGTAAGTAAGCAACACCCTAGAAAGAAAATGCAGGTTTTATTAGTTGCACGAAGAACACGATTTGTGTTTACCTTAGCCAATTGTTGCATCCAATTGAGGGCAGCCACGTGTGTGTAGTTTCGTTCTTCTTTACTATCACGATACATGTAATTGTGGAGTGATCCGCAGTCTGCGTATTCCATCAAGATCAACGTGTTGCACTCTTTATCTTCCATAGTACAATAAAATTTGATTATATTCTCATGATAGGCGCTGGATAGATACTTCACTTCTCTTTCAATGCCCTTTTTGGCATCCGCATCATTTACAAAAATTCGTTTCAGCGCCAATTGAATGTCATACATCTTAGCCTTGTGGACAGCGCCAAAGCTGCCTCTGCCAATTTCCTAAAATAAATTTATTAACTTATTTAAGAAATTCAAAAATAGGCGAACATTACCTCTTCCAATTTTACATCTCCGATATGATCTGTGGCTTGTGTTTCTAAGGTTGGGACGTTGCCAAAATATAGCCTAGAGCAAAAGTTAGTAAATACCATTTACAAAAAAAGCTCTGATTACAACTTAAGACAAGTTGAAATATATTTCTATAAAATTAACTTAAATTGAATAACGAAATGTATTAAAAAAGTACCTGATAATTATGCTAAGGTTCAATAGCACAGTTTTCACAATGGGCCGCATATTTTGGTCGCTGTGCCAACACCTGCTAATTAACGATTTTAAATTGGTAGAGCCCGACCCATCCGGGATACAACTCAAGGGTGGTTGACGTCCAGCGAGAAAAATATATTTTAAGACGGGAAAGGCAGATGGTTCATTTTCACAAAATGGTTTCCTGCGGCAAAGCACTTCCCAAAGCACTATCCCAAAGCTATATACGTCGGTTTTTTCGGCATATACTTCTTTGTTAGATGGTGGTATATAATGATTTGATACGGCGTATCCTCGAGCGGCTACTTCGCCGATCTTCAAGCAGCGACAGTTATCGACTAAAAACAAATTCTCCGGCTTCAGGTTGCCATGAAATATGGGCTTAGGCGTCAGTCCATGTAAAAATGCAAGACCCTGCAAATTGAGAATAAACAGGTAACAGTGATTTTGTCGAGCGTGCCCGACTAGGAGATGCCCTGAACCCATCGCTGTGTTATCTCAGCATACACACACATACAGCAAAAAGTTGACATGTCCGAGATCGACACTATATATAGACGTACAGACAGATGGACATGGCCAAATCAATTCAATTTATATTCGTTACAAGCACTTTGAAGCTTTATTAAACAATTTCATACATACGGACGGTTGGACAGACAGACATTGCTGGATCGACTCGGCTTTTGACCGACGGGCTGACCCAGAATATATATCTAGTTCGTGGGATCGGAGATGCTTTCTTTGGGCTATATTAAGTTTCTTATAACTAAGTATAAGAATAGAAAATGAAGAATAGAGGGGAATGAAACATACCTCGGCACACTGGAGCATCCATTTGAGTGCATCCTCCGTAGAATAGCTTGGGACATCTGACCCGTATATATGGTAAGCCAGCGATCCGCAGTCTGCGTATTCCATAACTACGTACAATTCTTTGGCTGGAGAGACTGCAATCCCATAAAATTTCAGTATGTTCTTATGGTCAATGCTTAATAGCTGTGCGTATTTATTTCTGGCCCATTCGTAATTAAATTTGCGATGTGTTTTAACCGCAACTTGATGTTGAAGCCAAAATGATTTGTATACTGTAGAAAAATAGCCTCTCCCGATTACCTTTAAGATAAACAATAATTTGTTTTGTTTTGTCATAAGCCAGGTATAGTAAGAAATCATTACCTCCTTTAGATCGATGTCGTTTAAACTAAAATTGTCATCCATGTTCAATCGCAAAAGCAGCTTGTGGATTAGAGTTTTCTTACAAAAGTCAACGATTGACCGTTAATTTCTGTGGCTAGTTCATAAAAAACAGATCAGATCGGTGTCATTATAATAAAAGGCGACCTTACAGACATTCGTTAGGCAGCCTTGACTCTTAGGGGACGCTGCCTTTGACCAAGATTATATTTTTAATATGCTTGTCGTTATCGTTTGATATACAAATTTTATAACCAATTATTTTTTTTTCTGCTAAAAAAGTATAAAATGTTTACAGTTTGATAGCCGTGTGAGCACTGATAATAATCGTGAGTCAAAATTTCCGAGAACCAAGCATTTAGTTTAAAAAGTTGATAGCTGCTCGCGTGCGTACACAAATTCTAACTTATTTAGACTGACCACAACAATATTTAAGAAGTATACCTTCTTTTCTATTAAGTATAAAACGGGTATAAAAAGCAAGTCTAACGCGCAGACATCGCTCAACGAGTACTGACAGCAGTCAACCTCTTTAAGTTATTTCCTTTTTAAACCGTGCAGCCATTAAAAATGGGTGTAAAGCGTATAATGTTTTTGTGCAAGTGTCCCATCAAAAAACATATGAAAACCATTATACCTTATACTACCCATTTTTAAGGGGATCGATAAATGCCAATTTAATAGAAACGATAACAATACCTTTCTGGAATTTGTTTAAATTTTGATTGCCGTATAATCACCGATAATAACTTTCTTATCGTTAAAGCGGGAAAAGCAACTTACATCTCATTTTAAAGTATCATTATATGTGTACATTCAAATCAGTTTAAAGTATCATTATATGTGTGCATTCAAATAATAATCATATTTAAAACACACATCATGCACAATTATGTGCTATAAACTAATTTTAAATTAACGGCAATTGATTCGATTCAAAACATACCGAATGAGTATGACGAGCGCGCCAAAACAAGCTACGCGGCAATGGTAACACCGGTTACTGCGGCTGCGGTGCGGCGAATTGAGCGCGCAGTATTTTTTTGCCACAAGCCTGCGGTCACACTGCACAACAGCTGTGCTACGTCTTTGTTGTGTTTTTCTTTTTCAATTTAAAAACCAAGCATCAGTAGCGTGTTTACTTTCTATAAAATACGATCACATAACGATGGGTAACACAAGTGGCAAACGAGAATCGGACAATCTATACACAGCCGAGGAGCTGCGCTTTCTAGAAACGGCGTACCGCAACGCATCCGGCGGTGCATTAGAGAAATTAACACAAGATCGACTCGTGGTAGGTGCACAGTGGGTCGTTGCACTTGGGCTAGCCAAAAATCAATGACTGCAGTTGCCTGCCTGCAGTGGCTGTTCCGGTCACAAGTTCAAGGTTCACTGCAACAGTCAGTTGTGCGTCTCGTGTCATGCGACACCACAAATGATATATTATGTGAGGCGAAAGCTGTCGTCATTGTCACCATCGGCGTTATCAATAACACTTCGCATTTGTTGTATAGGCCGAACGTGTCTCTTTGGTTTATTCAATTTGTTTGCTTTTCGCGTTTGCGACTGATTTTGTGTTTGCTTTGCCTTTGTCTAATTTGCTTGCCAACGAATTAGTAGTGAATCCAAAGGGGGATTGGCGCACATAATTATGGCAACGAAATTGAATTAATAATAAACAATAGACGCGACGAATGCAGCCAATTTCAGCGTTAACAGCTTGTCCCCTCCACAGTGGCCGAGTTTGGCTACGATCGCAAGAATTTGTTTATTATTTTTTGTAAATTTGAATTTAATTCGGTTTGTTTTGTGTTTCAAACAGGAAGCATGGTCTCAAACGATCGAGCATTCGCTAGCCGAGGGCACGGCTCAGTTTCTGTTTATGCCAACGAAACCTGGACAGCATTGCATTAATATACCCTTAAGGAAATTTGGCGAACCCTACTACATTATGGAACGTGGCAGCATTGAGATGAAGATGCAAATGATGCTGGCGTCGCTGCAACGCGGCGCCAACGACAGCTACAACAGCAAACAGCTTGAACAGGTGAAGCTTAAATAATGAAATATAAATAAGTTAATTAACAAATGTTCCTGCTTGCCAGTATATACACTCGGTCATTAAGAGCTATGTGCATCTGGAGAGCACCTCGAAGGGATCCATCATTAAGGAATGGCAGGATTTGGGCTTTCTCACAACCGAACGTTCGGTCTGCAGCTTTGCCAAGGGTCTGATGCGTAACCTAAGCAAAGATTTAGAGCACACCTTGCACAATGAGGCACTGGAGCGTTGGCTGCATGTCACGCCGCAGTTTCTGCAATTGTGGCGCGAGGTTTTCGTGCAGCTTTACACACGCCATGGTGGCAGCAAGCGCACAATCATCAAAGATGTGGAAATTTCCATTCTGCCTCAACTGTGCGGTATGTAATGTTCTATTGTACGCCTCAATCATGACAATCGTAAATCACATTCGCGCATACAGATGCCCCGCACAGCAGTCACTACAGGCCCATCATCGAGCTGCCACATGTGCTGTATATAAATGCACAGCTGCCGCGCGAGATGCGTCACAAATGGCGTTTCCTATTTTCATCGAAAGTACACGGTGAGAGTTTCTCGACCATGATTGGCAAGATGATGGACAAGGGGCCCACGTTGTTCTTCATTGAAGACGAGGATCAATACATATTTGGCGGCTATGCACCAGAATCATGGTCCCTTAAGCCTCAGTTTGGTGGCGACGATACCTCTTTGCTCTATACGCTCAGTCCAGCCATGCGCTGTTTCAGCTCCACTGGCTACAATGACCATTATCAGTATCTTAACTTGAATCAGCACACAATGCCCAATGGGCTGGTGAGTACTTGTGCCCTCTAAAAATGTGTATCGATTAGCATTTTAACCTTAACTCTCTGTACAGGGCATGGGCGGGCAGTTTGATTTCTGGGGTAAGACCAATATCACTTAAGGCTTATAATTAGAATCAATTTATACATTAACTACTATTTTGCAGGCCTCTGGTTAGACTGCATGTTTGGCGAGGGTCAGAGTGTGGAGAGCTGTACCACATATAGCGACTATGTGCAGCTCAGGTGCGCTATTTGAATTCCTATACTCTTTTTGATGCGCATTACTAACAGCACAACAATACAATATTTTACAGCAAACGCAAGCAATTTAAAATACGTAACCTGGAGGTTTGGGCTGTCGGGGATTTGCCCGTCAAGGATGAAGACGAGGGCGGGGATGGTCAGGTAAACACTCTACGCACTAGAAAATACAAAATATTACAAATATTTTTAAACATTTTCGAAAGAAAGGTTAAAATCTTCAATTAGTTATTAGTTAGCGCCTATTAAACTAAGAATTATAATTACCTTTGCTGGTTTATTTTTAGAAACGTTCTGTGCTGGACAGCAATCTGGAGGATCGTGCCATGCTGGAAATTGCTGGCAAGCAAATGCACTCGGATGGTCTTCGTGAACCGGGCATGGATGATTGATGGCGGTCGCAGTTCAAGGCATTAAGTAAATGTTCGGTTTTAACACGTTCAAGAATTTATAGCACTATATCTTTTTTGGGTGTGCGGTTAAAACCTTTACATATTTACTTTAGCCATAAAAACCTTCCTACACACTTTAAAACAAATCCTGTATACAAGAAAGTGTTTGTTCTTTCCATTCCTTTAAACTTTTGTTAATGCAATAATGTATTAATATAATATAGCTATATATATATATATATATATATATATATATATATATATGTATACGTATAAACAATGTATTATGCATAGTGTCTATGTAATACTGAAAGTATTGTTGTTGCGTTTTAGGACTACAAGTGAAATGAATCGTTCAAAAGCAATGTAATATCGTCGTAAACCTCTTTTTCTGTGTTTAAATAAATCGCAAATTATTTGCCGAACTCAAATTTATTGCTTAAATCATTAAATTCTTTGGAAAATAGATGGCTTCTATAGTACTCATGGTGGGTACTATAATTTGAAATATTAAATTACAAAGCTTTTAATTGAAGCCACTTAGCCACTGCCTCGCAAGCGACAATATACTAAATAGATATTTAATGCATTTTATATGTCAACAGCATAACCCGAGAGTGTCACGCCAGGTGCAATCTCCTCTTCCACGTATGAGCCCGCCTCCTCGAAGGAGCGTGCATTGCTATCCTCAAAGCTGCGTCCTACGCTCGCTGGTGTCTGGCGCAGCGGCGGGGCACGCTGGCCAAAATTGCGTGCCACACCATATTTGCCGGCATTATAGTTGGAGTTTTGGCCCTCGTCATCGTAGCGTCGTCCCGTGGAACGCAGCTTTGGCGCCTGGAATGTGTGCTGCTGCTCATGGTCCGAGTCATGACGATTGTGAAAATCGTAGGTGTTCGTCTCGGATCCGCGCGGATAGTTTGTTTTCCGCAGCATGGCCTTAAAATTGAATGGTGGCTCCTCCGAGTTCTGCAAAGCGGGAATCTCAATTCTATCCCGTAAAACTGTTTATTACTTACATCGTCCTCATTTCTGCGTGCCATATTCTGTAGCTCTCGCACTGGATCGGCGGGTGGATAGGAGGAGCGTTGCTGATAGTTGCGCTGTTGCTGATTGGGATTATTGCGATACTGGTTGGAGGAGGGCATGGGCGGTGGTGGAGGGGGCGCCGCATAGCCCTTCAAGGAATTGCGACGTGAGCCCGACCGATGAACTCCCCAATTGCCACTCATGTTGTTACTCTGATAGTTGCTGTTGTTGTAGTTGTTGTAGGCATTGTTGTAGGCATTCATATTCTTTTGCATTTGATTCCTGACGAGCATACCCTGATCAGCACGAGAACCCATTGAGATTGAGTGCATTCGGCTTACCTTCTCAGCTGCTGTGGATCCCGAAAGTAGCCCTGGTTGTAGATATTGTCACTCTCGCCCATGCGATCCCAGTTGGTCTGACAGGCCTGCTCCTTCTTATACGCATTGTAGGTGAGCAAGCACGAGGTCATCGAAGGATTGCGCTGCAACGGACTGTCCCAGGGCTCGTCTTCCTCCAACTGTTGCAGCAACAAGTGATTGGGGAAGGTTTGCCGTGAAATCGAATTGGCCGGATCCACCATATATTGTGTATCGTAGAAAGGTATCTGATCCAAGCGGAATGGCATCTTGCTGATGGGCACGGGCAGTGGTCCCAGCTGCGAGGAGTTCACCTCACGCATATTAATCCGCTCAAATGGCACTGCCCGAGTGCATTTATTGAGACCGGCCACCATGCGCTGGTTGTATATGTGCACCTGTTGCCGGTGGCTCGATTAGAGCTCAGGATCAATGTTCAATGTAAGCGCTTACCTGCTGTGACAGGTTGACGAAATCCTGGAAGCGGGCGGCGCGATAATGTAGCAGCACCTGGAATATAGACTTTGTACGCCACTTCTTGGCAAACGGGCGAATGAAATCCGCCGTGTTCTCATTGAGCTGTCCGGACTTCTCGTTCACCAGCGGAGGAAAGCGGACACGGTCGCGGAAGCCCCGAAATGCTGTTCAAGAAAACAAAAGATAAAGAGAGAGGGAGTGGGAAAGAGAGATGTTGAGGAGAAAGAAAGAGAGAGAGAGAGAGAGAGAGCGGGTTAGTGGCCAGTTAAAAATGCGGTCAATGGGCGGGGAGTCACCTTAATTTAATTAAATTTTCATTTATTTTCTATACAACACTTATAATTCATTTCTGTTTGTGCTGCGGTAAGCCGATTGGTTGCATCAGTGAGGGTGGCTTGGGGCTGGTAGCCAAAGGTGGATACCAAAGATGTTGGCACTAAGCGGCTTAAATTGTCCAACAGCCGGACACCCTAGACTAACACTAATGTAAACTTGTGGCTTGGTTACTTTGATATTTTATTATATGCATGCAGAGTAGTATGTAGTATTTGGTATGTGGCATTGGTAAGGCTACCCCCACGAGTTAGTATATTGCCCACATGGGCCTTGCTTGATTAGGTTATTGGTGTGAGATCTATTCATCGACTGAGGCCTGCTCGATTTTGGAGATGCACACTGCGGCGAGAGCCTCGTCTTTACGCGCTTCCAGAAACAGTTCATCGGCCTCCGATGGAGTCTCGCTTATGTCGATATGCTCCTCATCGAAATCTTTAAGTTTATCAACTTGAGTTTTTTTACCTTTTTGTATCTTGCTGGCGGCCTCATCATGCTGGCCTGGCCCCTTTTTGCCCACTGTGTAAGGAGACAGAGAGTTAAGGACTTGCCGTGGCTAAGTACATGTGCGCCACTTACATTTGAAGACCTTGCCTCCTTTGACGCGCTTGCGGGCGAGCAGGGCGCGCATCATGGACTGCACCTTGATAACCTTCTTCACCTGCAGCTCATATTGCCTGCAAGAGATGCGTAGCTAAGTGGTTAGTCTGAGGCGATATCGATTTCGATATGGAGCTCACCTGGCCAGAAACTCGTCGTTGTAGTAGCGTAAGAAGACCTTGGTCTTGCCCAGAACCCAGCCCTCCATTTTGAGGCGCAAAAACAACAGCCTGCAATTGTCCTTGGTCATCTCAACGGTCTCATCAAAGTCAAAGGCCAAGAATTGATAGCTGCAGAATCATTCAAAAGGAGAGGTTAGTGCATTGGGAGCACAAAGTCAAAGTCCCAGCCTACCGCTTGAGGAACTCCTCGAAGGGCAGGCGCGTGGAGTAGCCGCGCTGTCGTGCAATAACCGTGTCCAGAACGCCGAGCGCCTTCATCTGCTGCTGCACGACGTCCGAGTGGAAGGCACGCGGCTTGTACTCGAGATCGGCGCGTATGCAACGCACAAAGTGCACGCCCAGATTCGCATTCTGGCTGAGCATTCGGAGCAGAGTCAGGCAGGTGTAGCGGAAATTGGCCGCCATGGTGCGCAGGTTATTCACTTGTGAGATGCAGCCAGCGCTGAGCGTGTTGAGATTCTGCAATGGATCAAATGTTGATTGAGAGGCTTCAATATGTGCCAGGCGTACATGCAACTCACGTATGATTTGCGTTCAGTTTCATCCTTATGCTGTACGGCTTCAAACGGCATGGTTAGATTGCCAGCTTTGGTTAGCTGATTGGTAAACATGAGCATGATGCTCTCGTCCAGCGAGGAGCGGAACGTTTCGATCATCTCGGGCGGCACAAAGTCGCGATTGATGTCGGTGAAGGCGCGCGTATCGTAAATGATGCGGCCCGTATAATGGGCCACGGATAGCTCAGTGGCAGTGTGTTTCTTCACGAACTGGCTGTGCTTTTCCGACACGCGGTCTAAACGAAACACCACAAAGATAATGTCAATACGGAGCTGTCGAGAGAAAGAGAAAATGAGGAAGAGCACTGGACCTACCCATAATCAAGTCCTGGTCCTGACAGGAGCGCGATGCATCGTCTATGATGTAGAAAAGTCCATCGGGCTTGGTAAGCAGATTATCTAGCGCTGTCTTGTTATCGTAAAAGTTAAGATTTATGGTGTCAATATCCTCCGCTTCCATTTCCAACATTTCGCTAATGAAGATGCGCTGATTGTAATGATACTGCATTTGCTCGTTCAGTGTATTGATGATCAGCTGCTCCAGGCCATTCCGATGGAAGCACTCAAAGCCGTACATATCATGCACGATTATCGCATTCGTGTCGCCGCTGTAAAGGCAGGAAACCAAATATAATCCAATGGGGGTATGGCACATCGGCACATCACCAATACTCACAAGACGGCGCGTGGAAAGGACATGTTCATGTTGATTCTGTTGATGATAAAATCAACTAGACGCGAGTAAAGGGTGGAGGCGACCGCATCCCGTGCATCCCGTGCCTCCTCCGCTGTATACTGTCGCCGCTCGGCAATGCCGCCCTTGACCATGATGAAGTTGGTCAGCGACCACATGAACTTCTTCTCATCGACGCGCAACAGCTCCGAAATGCGGGAGACTATGTCGGTGTTCTCCACCTCGGCGTATTTGCCCGACGGACGGAAGCGTATGTTGCCAATATTCAAAATGGCAGCTAGTACTTTTCGTACCGTTTCCAGCTGCTTGTGGCTAAAGTCCAAGTCGTGTAGAATGCTCTCGAACTCCCGAAAGCGCTCCACATTGCCCTCAGGATCATCGCGACGATACTTGAGCTTGGACGGTGGCCCATCTGGCGGTATGCGCAGATAGCGATAGTTGCGATCCGACTTGAGATTGTAGTCCTTCAGGTGATTCTGTTGATTCATAAAGTCATAGAAATAGTAAAAGATGTGAAAGTTGTGCTGGCTGCCATCGGTGGTGGCCACGCGCAACTTCTCCAGCATGTACATATTGTAGACGGCGCCGCTCATCTTGCCCGTCTTGCCAAAGGTCAGGCAATACTGCAGGACACACCGTGTGGAGTCGTTGTTAACCGGTGTGCCAGCATTTACCAACATGAGTATGACCTTAATGGAGTTCTCGACGCGTCCCGTGGCGCCACGATTGCCAGAACCCAGATAGCAGAGATGCTTGATTAGCAGACGGGCATTCGTAGACTTGCCCGAAAAGCTTTCGCCGGAGAACACAATGTGCTGCGGTTCGCGGTGGTGCAGCATATCCTGATAGGCTATATCCGCCACGGAAAAGATATGTGGCTGATTCTCCGAACGTGACTTGCATTTGTATTTGGCATGGAACTATAAAAAGAACCAACAATTACGTTTTCTATTTAGGCCGAGCAGTTGGCTTTATGAGAGACCCACCTCAGGGCTGAACTCCTGCTTGAGCTCATTGGAGTTCAGTGAAAGCAAAATATCGCCAATAAAGCTGTAGGACTCGCCCATTTCCATACGATTGCGCAGCGAGTCGAGTATGCTCTCATCCACCGGATTTTCAAGGGCCGCCAGATCCTCGGGATACATACGTTCCGGTTTCTCATCGAAGCGCTTGATGTAGCCCCGGTCCACAAAGAGTTCTGGCTCCTTGTACAACGTCTTAACATCGCTTGCCAGCTCCAGCATTTCGGCCAGATCGGAACGCATTTCCTCCTCATTCTCAATGAGTTCGGTGAGAAAAGGGTGCTCCACCATTTCCACCATCATGGGCCGGTTCTCAGCATTCTTCTCCAGGCACTCGGCAATAAAGTCATTGATCTGCTGCGACCAGTTTGTCGGACGCGTCAATGTGGGCGGTGGGTTGCGCACAATTGCAAACATGGCCCTTGTTGGATGCATGTCTGCAAACGGAGGCTTACCATCGGCCAGCTCAATGGTGGTTATGCCCAGAGCCCAGACGTCGGCCCGCACTGTAATGTCCGGCTCACGGGCTTCCATAGCTGCCACCACCTCGGGTGCCATCCAGCAGGGCGAACCAATGCAGGTGCCCCGTTTGCCTAACGTCGAGTCCACCTGACGCGACAGCCCAAAGTCACACAGCTTAACGCATCCGTTTTTGGTTAAAAGTATGTTGTCGCCCCGTATGTCCCGATGAAGAACATGATTGCGATTCAGCTCGATGGCTGCGCGACAGGTTTCCCTGATGATGTAGGCGATGTGCTCCTCTCGCATGCGACGGTCCAACTTTAGCAACTTATTGACCATGTCCACGGCGGTGCCACCGGCGCAGTACTGTAAACGATTGAAATTTAGCTGGATTGGAATACGTTTGCACCTTTCGGCTGTACACTGACCTCCATGACAAACCAAATCTCATCGGGTCCATTGGGTTTCGACAGCTTGTAGACGCCGTAGAACTCGGGCAGATTTGGATGTGCACAGTAGTCGCGCAGTGTGCGATATTCCTCCTCAATGGACACCTGGTGCTCCTCGTCATAGTGCTGTATCTTCAGTGCAACGATGCGATCAGTGTCCAGTTCCTTGGCGCGAAAAACCTTCGCATTGACACCCTGCGCAATCTCCTCATAGATTTCGAATTTATCGGTCGGATCCGGCAATTGCGTATACGGCAAATACATTTTGTCCCACTTGATCAGGATACTCACAGGATATAATAGTTACTAAGGTGTTTTATGGTGATTAGGTAACGCAGAGAATAATAATTGTAAATCGCATTAGTAATTTGAAAGGTTTCACCCGATTACCAGTGAGCAGATGGGTTTTTGCTTAGGATTGGAGCCCCCATCGACAAAAATTGGAAAGGGTTTAGTTGTGGCAGTTGTAACACAACTAAGAAAAGTAAGCCTAGGACAATAAGATATTGGTTTCTTTTTTATGAAAGCAGTTATCCAGAATGTTTAAGATCCTCACAGGATAAAAGGAAACTTTTAACAAACGGTTAAACCAAGTTATATATATCACATAATGTTAAGATCCGTAACTATGGGACTTGAAGCCTAATCCTCATTGTTCACTACGAAAACTTGTCTATTAATAATCAGTTTTGATACAGTTTCTTTCAAAGCTTTAGCTATTTTCAGATAATACACCTTGCAGCATTAAGAGTCGAGTATCCTTATAGACAGACCTTTGCTTAGTAGTTATTTGCCACGGCACGAACGTTGATGGTATCCTTTGTTTCTGTTGGTGAATTCCCGAACCGACCGAACGCTTGCAGCACGATGCGCTGCAAAAAGCCAACTGAAAGTTGTGCAAACGGATTCCTCGGCTTTTTACTGAGCCCAAGAAGCCCCGCAACAGCGTCATGGCATGTTGGCCAATTGCCTATTCCAATTCACGCTGAATTGGTAAGACCACCCATCCCTGTACCTTGGGCAACTATTTAGCCAACTAATTGAATTAGAAGCCCAGTCGCAGGCAGCGCGACATTCACGTGCAACAAGAGAAACGCGGAAAAACTGGGGGATTAAGAGACAGAGAGATAGAATTGAATAGAAGTCAGCTGATTGACAGACTCTAATCGTGCATCTTATTATTTGTATTTACAAGTATTCGTAAATGGGATCGACCGCTAAGCTAAACATTAAATATACACATTCACATAATGGATCCATCGATGGTAGTCCTATAGTTGTCCAATATTAAGTGTTTTAATCTAGAAATATGTTTCTGTTTGCATAAATAAATGTATTTCGATATTGTTGTTATTTTAGTTGCTGCCGCTAATTGAAGAGAAGTCTTTTATCAGTTCTCATTGCCTCCGCTGCTCAATTGCACACACTTATCCACTCCTCCACGTGACACTCATCGCACTCGACGCTACAGCACCATTGAAATTTACATCGACAGCGTTCGGCGCGTCGTTCCTTAACTTGGCTGTGACCACGCCCACAGCAGAGGGAGGCGCAGCCGTCGCTGGTCGTGGAATTGCGATTACATTTTCGACCAGCTGTGCCTAAAATGTAAGCAAAGAAATAAGCTAATAATTCAAGTTTTAAATTTAAGAACATTTCAGATAGTCGATGCATTTTTTGGGCATTATTATATAGTAAGTTAAACATTTAAGAAGATTAATAATAAGATTAACTAAAAAAACAAAACAATATATTTGAATAATTAAAGCTGTCGATAAGCTTTCAAGAATTAAAATATAAATTAGTCAATGGTTTGCTTTAACGATAAATTGCTTTGAATGGTGACATTTTCCGTAGTGCTCAGTTCACATCGGAGCCATTAAAAAGCGATAAATAAACAATTAAGTGCAACGCTAAGCAAAGTATCATAATTGTTGGATGTTAATTGCCAACGTTAATTGCCATCATTTGGCTAGACACGGCACATGAATCAAGCGCCTGTTCAATGGGGCGACGAGTTTGGGCTTTGGCGGGCTTCGGGTTGGACGGATGCAGAAACCAACCCCGGTAGACCCCGGGCACCCCCGGCCCCCCTCGGCCAGCGGTAGTCAACGATTAATTATAAATTTGCGTCGTAATTAACACTTTAAACTGGCCCGCAGTCGCTTTTGATAATTTGCAAATGTGTCAACAGCAGCAACAACAACAACAATAACAGCAGCAGCCACAAAATGGCTAACGAAAATTGCAAGTGGCAGTTAGTTGTTGTTGTTGTTGTTGTTGTTGTGCAGTTGCTGTTGTTGTTGTTATTTGCCGGTTGTTGTTGTTGTTGCCGGTTGTTGGCCGAGTACGTGCCGTGCGCATGCGCAGCTCTCGACTTTGTGTTGGCGCATTTTGAGTTATGTGGCATGCTTGGTAGCTCCGTTAATAAATGGTTATTTTTTTGTGCAGTTGTTGTTGTTGTTGTTGCTGTTGTTGTTTCTGTTACCCGGCTGCTGTTAATTTGCATTTGTGATTTATTTATTAGAGGCAAATCAAATTTATCGCTTAAGCGAATGCTAATAAATCATTTTTAATTAGTTGCCCGTTGCCTGAGTGCAACCGAATTTTTGACATTTCCTTTTTTTTTTTTTTTTTTTTTATTTTTGAGACAATCTGCAAATTTTTATGGTATTTACTCTTATCATTTTTTTGAATATCGATTCGAAGCGTTACAAGTAGACCAAAGACGGGTTGTGCAATATTATTTATGTGTTCTGATTGTTTTTTTTTTGGATTAAGAATAGCTCAGCAACTTTTCTTTTGAGCGTTAAATTAGAAACAAATACATTCAAATTTTGATTATAAGCTATTTTGATTTATCAACAAATTTGTGCATTAGTAAATATTTTAGCCATAAATAAATGATTGTTCTAGCAGGATTTGTTGGAAATACTTTTGTAATATTACGCTGGCTGTACGATTGCTTAAAAAATCCCTTATTGATTATTACTTATTCTTAAGGATACTACTATAATATATGAATCTAACACTTACCCTGAATATCTGCGCCCAGGTCGCGCTCACAAAAGTTGGGCGAGCGCTGATAATAGAAGAGCGACGTCTCCAGCTTGCGTGCCATGCGGGCCGCGTTCTTATCACCTTTGGGCTGGCGTGTGCCTTGTTCGGCGTCCAAGTCGCGCTGGATCCCGTGACCCGCCATCGTGCCAGACGCATCGGCGCCAGCCATATCCGAGGAGCCACCGGCGCCGTTGCCTCCGTTTGATTTCTTATTGCGTGCTCGATTTAGTACCACAACCGGCTCACCATTGCCAAGATTCGATTGATCCACCAGAATGGCCTTGCGAAACTGATGCTTCAGCACTTTGCCCACGATATGGAAATCGGGTGCCGATTTCCAGCAGGTCTTTAGCTGGCAGCTACCGGACATGCCGTGACACTTACAGCGGAACTCCATATTGTTTGATACGGCCTACAAATTAGAAGGGTATATTGGACATATCGAATAATAGGGTAGAATTGTAAATTTATAACTCCTGAAGACTTAAAAGCTACATTTTGGCATTTAATTTTTATAAATAGATATATTGAAAAATAATAAATAATATTGAAAATGTAATAAATGTTTTACTTACCATGCGGCCCGCATTATTGTTGTGCAGATTAATTTTGGATTGTATATCGCCGGCCTTTTCGCGACAATCAAGAAATAGCTTGGAATATTCCACACCAAAGTCCATGTTGTGAGAGCAGCCGCCCCATTTCCAGCGACTGGCGATTTTGGAGCGTTCGTATTTCTTTTCTTCCTCGGGCGTTAGGATTTGATTCGTCTCCAGATATTGGAGAAATTGTTTCTTCTCCTTGTCGAGCGACTGGCGCAGATTTTTGTTGAGTGTCTTCCGATTAATGGTCGGATCACAGCCGCAGGACATCAAACGACCTTGGCTGCAGGCGCGAGCCACACTGTGGGCCACCCCGGCCGCTGAAATGGCAAAGGCAAATGCGCTCTCCCGATAGCCTGTTGAGAAGATTGTTGAGACTTCAGGATTGGATTTGGAATTGGAACTGCAGTGGAGTCGGAGTCGGAGTCGGAGTCGGAGTGTGTCACCTGGGATTCATTGCACACTATCGCAAAATATGCGGCGTTATTTTTAACACTGAATGCCCAAGCAGTTGTTGTCGCTGTCTTTGCGATCGCCCAGGGAATTGTGCGGCATTTGGCTTTGACATGAGCCGGACAAGCGTTCAAGTTTTGCCGCCAAGCCCCAAATGCCGCCAGCCAGAGCCTGGCCAATTCAATTGATTCCAGCGATCGATCAGACAAGTTTTAATGATGCAAAATTGTGGGCACAGTCCGAGCCACAGCCCCGGCCACAGTCACAGTCAGAGCACACCCACCCAGGCGGTTAGTTGACGGCTTATGCAACAGCTGTCAAACGGCTGTCAAAATTGACGTTAATCATGACCGACATGTAACGTCATTGAGCGGGCCAAAGTTGGCAACATTTGTCAATCGATTGACATGCAAATTGTCAGCGCCACTTTGCATAAGACAAACCAAAAGCCAAATCCAATGCGCCGGCGACAGTACATATGTCAATGTGACAGGCGTGCATCAAGCAGAAGATGGTACCTGCTAACAGGTAACTGGTGAGGGGGGACACAGCTGTCAAACAATCAGTCAGATGGTCAAGCCGTTCGCTGGCAAGAGATTCAGAGTCCGTCTGTCACTCAGGATGCGCACGAATGCAAATGTCAATGTTGTGACAAGTTGTCGTTGTCGTACAGCCAATGCGAACGAGTGATCCAGCGATTCGGCGATCGAGCGTTCGATTCGATCCAATGTCAATGGTGTAATGCAAAAGTGTAGCGCGCATTTGATTGACGATTAAGACGCCATCAATCAATGCATCAATGCGCACAGTAGCCGCAGCATAGCAGCTCCATCTACCGCCACTTCTCTCCCTCTCTCACTCTCTCACTCAGGTGATCTGTGTGATCGTTGATCGTTGATCGTTGATCGCTGATCGGTCGATTGGGTCTTGATTTATGCACGCTTTGTTCCCCCTCTTAGGCCATTTGCAAATCCAAATCACATCATTGCCAGCGAGTTGCATTTGACAATGCCTTGGGGCCGCTGACGTGCTTCTTACTGCGCATAAATTGGCAAGCAGCGTTCGAGCCAGGCGAGCTGCACTGGCCCCAAACAACGACCTGTCCCTGTCCCTGTCTCTGTCTCTGTCTCTTATGTTGCAATCCCAAGTAATTGTTTGCGACATACGTCGCTCGCTTGTTGTCACATGCATTTGGCTGAACCGAGACCAAGATAAAGGTCGATCGTCGTCGACGATCGTACGTAATCCTTTTACTACTTTTGTACATGCCTGCTGCCGCAACAGTCGCAGCCCCACTTCTGAGTCCCCACTCCCCAGTCCCCAGTTCCAGCCTCACTTGATTGACAATAATGCATGGCGAAGTAGCAGCAGCAGCAGCAGCAACAGCAGCAGCAGCAGCCGCTGCAAACTGCGACGACGACGATCAACGATCGGCCAGTTCCATAAGTTATAGTAGATGTATGCAAAATAGTTGACCTGTCCGTGCGCCGTTCGATTGTCAGTCATTGTGCCTCTCCGACTTGATTTGTTTCGTTTCACTTGGCCGATCGACGATCCCTCGCTGCTTGGGGCTGCTCAGGTTGCCTGGTTGCCTTTTTGCCTGGCCTGGCCTATGCCTCTGCCCTTATAAGTCTCCCAGTCGCAATCGTTGCACGCGTTGCTGTTGCCTGTCAATATTGACTCTCGTTATGTGCAGTTCAGTTCGGTGTTTCCTTCCTTATTTAATGGACACACGAACGGGCCGCTTGACAAACAGACAATCGGACAGCCAGACAGCCAGACAGACAGCCGGCCGGCCAGATCGGCAGACATGTCACTGACATAAGCTTGGGTTTACCATATTCGTACGCTGCGCGCCCCGTTGAAGGCTAGTCGAGAGTTACTTGGAAGTGCTGCTCCGCCTGCTCCGGTTGCTCCAGCTGCTGCTGCTGCGGCTGGTGTGGCATGCATTTGGAGATTTATGGTTCGGCATTGTTATATTGGGCAGTGTTGTTAACTTTAACCCGGCTCATTTTGGTATTTGGCCCGATCAAGTTTTGTGCACTTGATGCCAGTCCCAAGATTATGGCTAAATGCAAATTATATGTAGATATGCTGTAATGACATTGTTTTGCGCTTTGTCGGAATTACTAAACCCCCATATACTTTGCTACGGCGTTGAGAACTACTAAGTAGCTTACCCCTAAGCCGAACGGATCATTCGGTAAAATTTACTTATTTAAGGTTCAATATCTTTAGCTGAATTCTGTTGTTGCATATAAAATAAATTATATATTTATATTGATCTCCCAAAAATGTTCAGACATAAGTTCTCTAATATTGATATGAGATTACACAACAAGACAAGATTATTCATGTTAAGTTTTTCTATATTTCCCAATAGTTTTTCTGCAAACTTACTTTTATATTTATGGCATAGCACATTATATCTTATATCTGTAACTGAATTCTCATTTAGATATCATCAGTTAGAAACCTAGCTCATCTCCCACTCTACCTTCCTATCAGCTTTGGAAAAGTGCATTTAATTTCATGATCTTTCCACTGAATCTCTTGCTTTTAATGCCCGTTTGAATAGAGTATTTTACAATCGGAAGCAGACAATTGTAATGCTCTAATATGTTCTTCATAAACTATTAAATCATTCTACACCCATATTCCATCTAATGGTCTATGAAGCTGATTACAATTCGGAGTTTGTTCGAAAATATGCGAACTACACCGAATGGTTTATGCTCTTGATCACAACAAATGTTGTTGCTATTTGTGACTGCTCAGCATGACCATGCCCATTACCAAATTCACATCCAGATCCAGTGGCACAACCAGATCCATGTCCAAGTCCATGTCCGCTCCCATGCCGTTCATTCGTTGGTTGGTTCGTTTGCTGGTTCGTTTGTCTCTTGAAATGTCTGGCTGTCGTTTTGCTGTACGTTGTCAGTGGCCGCGGCAGCATCCGTCAACAGAGATAACAATTTTTTAAATTGAAATTGAATGAAGTGGTTTGCTTACAATATAATTTATACGATGAATGCAAATAAATTACGCCGGACTCGGAGTCAAGTCAGAGTCGTCTCCACTCGACTTGGCTGTGGGCCTTTCCCTTTTACTCGTCGGTCTCCCAGCCAACTCTTCTTGCAGCTTGTTTCTTATTTTTTGTTTATTTCTCCTTTTTTTTTTTTGTCTTTTAAGCTGCATTGAAATTTGTGAGAAATCTTTTCAGCCTTGCTACTGGGAGTATATCGTTTGCATCTGCATTGCATGCCGCCATTTTGATCATTGACCATTCGCCCCATTGTTTTGGCATTTTTACAGCAATCGTATGACGCATAATTTAACTAATGAAGCGCTTGGGAACGCACTTGAAACATTCCTGAAGGGCTGCCAAAAGATTTTTCAACTAACTAGCCTGATTGTCACCTGGGCAATTGTCATTTGTTAAAGATAATTCCATTCCTTTAGATCTGGCATTGTGTTGCGAAGATACTTTACTGAATCTGAATCCCACACTAATTGCCCAAAGAACACCCAATACGAAACCAAAAACTATCCTTTTTGGTTTAAAATAATAATACTTTTGATGTAGAATTATGAATAACTTTAGCCTCAATCATTGGGTTTACCTAACCATATTTGCTAGGTTTAAAATTTTGGGTAAAAATCAAATCTAGCGCGCAACTTGTGTATGAAAATATTTACAGTTAGCAATATTTTCAGAACAACGCGCAATAAAAAACACAGAAGGGAATTGTTTTCTTTGAAATTTATAAAATATATGATAAACTAACTAAACGAAGCGAGAAAGGGAGCTGATTCTTATTATACGTATATTTTTCTTCTTGAGTCCTAATTATTTTTGCCTTACACTTCTCGTTATAGTTAAGGATAATTTGATCTTAAAGAGCAACAAATATTAAATGTATGCCAAGTCAATGAAATATAAGCTACTGATTCTAGTTTCAAATCTTATTCATTTTATTGTACAAGACATATTCTTTGAAATAAATCTCTTTGACTGCAAAACTTTTGACTTTAAACTGATGTACAGTTAGCATTTAATAATTAATTAAATAACTTCACTGGAATTTAACGCTCAGTGTTGGTAAACAAATACATAGTTTTGCCATTTTTGTTAGAAATTGTACGAAATTTTGGTATTCATGGAACTCATTAACACTAAAGCCAACAGCTTTTCAGAGCTTTTGGGTGGTGCCCGCTTTATACAGAACCTGATATGCTACCCATGTGAGTCATAACAGTAGTTAGTTGATACAGTTGGTGCTTTGCGATCGGCGCTTGTGATCATAAACTTAACTCTATTTGCTACTTGGCTAACAAAAGCGTCTAAGAAAGCGGCGACACTTTGTAGATGGTCAGTTAAACGTCATCATTATCAAGATGATCATAAGGCACACGCCGTAGTCGGGGATCTTGTGTGTGTAATATAATGCCTGGCCGACAGATTAAGATATCAAAGTCAAAGTTCGCACTGCCGCTGCCGGGATGCACTAGGCCGCGACAAAAGGTGCGCCCAGAACAAGCCCCAAGCGACACTCTTACTAGGTGGAAAACTTAGAAACATGATCTTGTTATTCGCTGACCAACTGAGCCGGGGCATTAGAGAGCCAACTTCAGCTGCAGCGCCAGCTCCGACTGCTGTGGTTTTGTGCCATGGCATGTCTAATAATGCGACGGCTAATAGCATCGGACAGTGGACCAGGGACCACTGCTGGGCACTTTTAATTAGACTCTTTTCATACCCTAGATCCAAAGAAAAAGGCGTGATGGTTTTGTGCAAATGTTTCTAACATTGAGACGGAATCATTCTCCCATATATACTCTCTTGATCAGAACATTGAGCTGATCGAATCTGGCTACGACTGTCCGTCGGAAGGGTCATTGTTTTTTCCTTTAGTTTTTTCCATTTCCATGACATGTATAATTATAGATTTGAGATATAGTTTTTAAAGGACAATCTAAAACAAAAGGAGTTAAATTCCATTGATAAACACTTTAGTAATGGGAGAACCCCTCTCGCATGTTTGTTATAGGTACTCGGTGCTGGTTACGCGGTATCTACCAGTCAAGCACTCCCGACTGGAGCACCTTTGTCCATGTGTTTATATTTTTTGCCTAGCGGCTTGCGTGTGGGCCGTTGCTCTATGCATAACCGCAAACCCGTTGACAGTTTGTCGTTGCCGTTGTTGTCGTTTGCCGGTCATAAAGCGATTTTGTTTGCGTGAAAGCTGAGCCACACTTACGGCGCATTTTAGTGTCAGCTTAATGGCTTTTTGGCCGGCCAGGCTACTTGGTAGCCCCAGCCAACTCAACACTCACCTTTCTTGAGCAGATTGGAGGCATGCGGATTGCGGCTCTTCGTGCTCAGAGACGAGCAGTTCCAGCGATGCCACTGAAACTACATTCACATAAAATGATTAGCTAATGATGCAGCCCAGATACCAAAATAAATAAAAATATCAAAAACACAAAAATCTGCAAAATTCTGCTAAGCTAATAAAGTTTATGACTATTTCTGTGCGTCGGATAAACTTTTGTTTGAGTCCAACATATCAAATCTCTTCTACATTTAGAAGTCATATCCATCAAGTTATTTAGGTTAACCATTTATGTCAGAAATAAAACCAAGTATTTAAAAAATTTCTCGTTGATGACAGTTAAGTTAGGGTTGCAAAGTTTCCATATTTTTTGTTAGATTATATTTTAAAATATGAAAGTTAAGCAAATAATATAAAGTCGTTTGAAAAACAGAACATAAAATGATAAAAAAGTCCTATAACTAATTTGTGAACGTATTATTTTTGTATTATTATTGTTGAATGTGTTTTTTTCAAATTCTCAAAACGATTTAGAAAATAATAATATATGTAATGAAATACCTGTATTTGGCATTCCCGTATAGCCATATCCAGGCCCTCCAGAGCAGCAGCTGTTACATCACTTGCCTTGTAGCATAGCTCCAGCTGATCCTTGGTCAGACCTGGAACCGAGCGGCACGTGGCACGTCCGTCCGGCAAGCCATACAACCTAGAATATATAATAAAAAGGAAAAAAGAAAGAAAAGACGGATTACTAAGTGACTGGATGACACTATCGAAGTCCTTCGAAGACTACTTTCCTACATTTATTTACTTGCTAAAATAGATCGATTTTATGTAAGCGTTACATTTTTTCATATCAGTTTTGATTTGTGTTTGTGTTTCTGCTTGAGTGGCAATTGGATTACAACCACCGCAGCTGGCAATTAACGAGCAATCCCCAACCCAAGTCAAACTTCAGAGCCAACACAAATCACAGCCCAAGCCCACACAGACCGCAGACGAATTTTGCCATTAACCTTGAGCGCCAGAAACCGCAAACGTCCCAAATAAAATGTATAAATTTGCTGGCCGGCAAATTTAATTTAATTTCATTTTATTTGTTTATGTGAAATTTAATTTGACTTTGTAGCAGATTTAATCAGCAAACGCGCAAAGACAAAGCTCGAAAAAAAAAATAGACGGACAGTAGCTAAATTAAATTCCAGCGATGTTATAAATCTCCAGTCAAATCTTTGGTCTATGACTCACACAGAACAGAAGCTTGGCTTGGCGCGGGACAAGTTGAGGGGCTACCCAATAGCTCCAAGCCGTGGCTCTCATTGAACTCATTTAATGCGCGCCATGGCATTCAAGGTCAGCGGAGAGGTGTTCTGATCTTGCGCCACAGATACAGATACAGATACAGACACAGATACGCAGAATGCGAGTGCCAGTTGACGTTGGACAACTTCATCGGGCCATTGGCATAACCACAAACACTGCCAGATCCACACAACGCCATCGTCATCGGCATCGCATCGCGTTGATCTACGACACGCAGAGCGCAGTCGCAGTTGCTACAGGCTGGCATACCAGCCGTATACGTGATGCGCTCGATGATGGCGTCTTCAATGTAGTTTCTTGCGCACGCCAGTCACTCGACTGGGGAAGGGCGAGGGAGGAGGGTTGGATTAATTGTAGCACGTAGCGCATGTAAAAAATACTCAAATGTTGAAACGTGCCATTTTCACACACGTACCCAACTGCAACCGATCTGAGGATCTACCATCATTTGGTATGCCATTCACGATGCTCTCCGCAGAGCAGAGCCTGCGCCTCACTTGCTCCAACTATTGAGCTGCACGCCGTTTAGCAGTTGCCATTGTCTCGACCCAGGAAGGCCCCAATCTGTGCGGATGCAGATGGAGTACGCGACGTTGCGACACAGTTTAACCATGTTAATTAGGTGCAAGTTTTGCGTGGGCTTACTTTGTGTAGATTCATAAATGTAGACATATGATTAAGAAATTTAAGTTAAGACGGCAGGTTTCATAAGTAAATTTACTAAAGCTGGTTTCATTGACTTAGATAAACCACAAGAGGCTCCCAAACTGTTAACACCTCTGGTGCTGAATAAAGCAATTTGTTGAAAGACAGCTGTTAAGGGAGAAGTTGAAATTAATCAAAAATTGAAATTAAACAGAAATTGACACATGTTCTCCGAAGAAAATGAAGTTCACAAGACAGTTAATATTTGAAAACTGAAAGCTGAAAGTGAAACATTGGGCACTGAAGCAAATAAATGTTGTAATTGATGTAATTATCAAATCTAAGTTGGCAGACCTTTTTAAGCAATTATTTTAAAGCGCAATATTTGATTAATTTCGAGGCATTTCCTTTCGTGCCAGCTGCAAATCAATTGTTGAAGCTTTCGTTTTTGGCTCAGTCAAAAAAACTTTTGCACATTTCATGAGTTAAACGTAAAAAAATGTGATAAATTCGTTTAATTACAGTGGCAGCTAGCGTAGAGCTATGGAAATGAAATGCTTCGACTGACTGACAGTGGGGCACCCTGTATTTGAATAGTCGCCCGAGATCAAAAGCATTCCTAGCTGTTGCCGTGGATCCGGCAGCCAGGCTGCCTGGAATGTCTCGTCTCGACCGGGGCAAAGTTATCTGCCCGCCTGAGTCTGCCTTGACTTGAGTCTGCCTGGGTGTTGGTGTGTGTATGTGTGTGTGCGTGTGTGCTTATGTGTGGGAAACAATGTTTATGCCTAACTGGCTTAGATAGCTAGCTGATTTGATATAGTTTGTGGAGGAGGGGCATAAAGCGACGAAAAATCCTTGATTTATGCAACGGGCTACCGTTTGACAGACGAAACGGCCAAAACGCAGCTCAACTAAAGACTTTTGGCGGCGCCTATTAAAGCCTTGCCACACATTTCAATCTTTTTATGGCATTTCAATAGAACTCTGAAGCTTGGACTCGTTCTCTTGGCTGGAGAGCGTGAGAAACTGAAATTATGAAAATGATTTTTTTTGCTGCCGTCAGTCGTAAGTATATACTTATGTATATGTATATTATATTGGCTGAATTTCAGTTTGGTTTCTTTTTTTTTTTTTGTTGTTATCGTGGCAACACTTTACACGGCTGATAAGCAACATACTCGTCCTTAAACTTAAATTAAGCGACTTGGCAACAATTTCAGGCCACGGCTAACAGATCGATAAATTTTATAAGCGAATCAATTGCGCTGCTATCGCATCGCGTGAAATACGCGTCGACATCCACATCCACATCGGATCGACATCGGATCGGATTGCCGCAGATCTGCGAGCGCTGGATGCGGCATGAGTCAGCGTCGGTTCCTTGACTTTGTTGCCTTATCAGTTTTATTGAATTCACTGGCAAAGTCAGCAATGGCAAACCCAACAACAACAGCAACGTTGACGGCGACTAAAAGCCATACGCTTTATAAAGCTGTTAACAAAATGTGCATCAGTTTAAATTCTTTATCTGGGAGACGTCTGGCAGATGGCTCTGTAAGATGCTCTGCATTGCATATCTGGCAACCAATTAAATTGCATTTTGCCAAGAATCTTTTATTTTATTTTATTTTTTTTTTTTAAGTTTTCGCTCTTTAAATTGCAGTTTTGTTTGCTTGATTTGCAGTCGGTGATAGAGCAGCTTCAACGTGTCCCATTCAATGGGTAGTAAGAGGACTGAAGTCTATTAAAGGAAGGATGATTATCCAATAATATTAGAGGAATTATGTCTGCCTAAAGTTATTAGAATATTTATGCTTAATTAAAGGCTTATTTCGTGTCTGTGTAAGAATTAACAAGAGGTGATACGATTATCCATTTGGTAAAAGCTAATCTCCGATCTACAATTTGTTCACACTTGCTGAGTTATAAAACCCCGGCTTGGGGTTAGATTGTTCTTCGATTTTCGACCTTTTGAGTGAATCATAGATTCAATCTTATTGGATATTAACAATCTTTAGTTTTATTTTTGCCAACCTTTCAGCTTAGATAATGGTTAACATTTATCAGCGCCTTTATCAAGTTTTATCTAACATATTGCAGCTGAAAATGGGCTGTAAATTTGAGCAAAGAATGGAAATGTTTGCTGGGGGCAACTTTCTCGCGGATCGGCAACTGCCGAGCCGAGGATCACTTGGCTACCAATTGAGGTGAGTTTATCGCGCTGACGAGCGATAAGAAAATGCAACAAATTTAACAAGCAATTAAATGTGGTGCCAGGCGCGCTTATAAGGCCCAAGACCTGAGGCTGCCAAAGTAGCAGCGGCTCATAAATAACCCAAACTCAAGTCGCTGCGTTGCGCATACGCCATGTGGTGCAGGCGAGGACACTTGAGGTTGTGCATATGTGTGTACGTGTGTGTGTGTGTGTGATGCACCCAATTAGGATTGGGTTGCTGCACATTATGCATTGCACTTGCACTGTCATCATTGGGGGGCGTGGCCGTGTGTGCTTCATTTGCATTTCAAACGAAAATTGTGGCAATTGTGGCTGCAGATGCAGTTGCACTTGCAGCTGTGCGAGCGTGTGTGTCTGTGTGTGTGTGCCTCATTATGCGCTGCAATTATGACGTTGCAACTACGAGGAAGACAACGAATTGCAAGCTGCTCTTCAGCCTGCATTGCTGCAGTCTCGAGTTGACTGCAACTGTTCGTTCTTGTTATTGTTGCTGTTGTTGTTGTTGTTGTTGCTGTTGTTGCTGTTGTTGCTGTCTTGTCAACAAGCAAAAAAGTATGTTGACAACCCCATGCAACAACAACAACAACAACAACAAAAACAAAAACAACAGCGACGAGATTAACAAGCTGCAACTACTAGGCGAGGCAACCAGTCAGTCAGCCAGCCAGCCAGCCAGCCGCACCTGGAACCTGGACAGACACTGCCTCTCGTCCGCCTGATTGCGCACAGCACACACCGGAGTCGGAGACGGATTGACAGCGCCTGGCGCATTATAAGGCCTGAGTGCCACGGACCACCCTGCAATTGAAATCAACTCAATTGTGTGTAGGCTGGTCGCAGTTGATGCGAGGACGAGAACCAAAGACAACGAGCACAGCAGCAACAGCAGCAAAAAGGGAGCTGGGTGCTGGGAGCTGAGAATTCGCCAGTTGCCAGTTGGCTATGTTCCCTGGGTGGATACCTCGTTCAGTAGTGGCCATGAACCATTCAAAATGGCGTTGACTCTTTGGCAAAGTATTCGTTGTTTGGTCAAGCAAAATAGCAGAGCATAGCAATGGCTGCATGGTGCTGCCAGGAATCAGTTGAGGGCTTAAACGAGGTATCTGAGCTAAGGGACTTAGCACATAATAATTGCCATTATTATCTAAGAATATTTTCATAACTATTGTTATTATTTAAGAAATGTTTTCATTATTACTAAAGAATTGCTTACCACAGATTAACATCCTGCAAAATTCATCAATATAAATTATATAAAAAAAAGAGAAAATTGCTTAGTAAAATAATATTGGGAAATCTCGGAAATAGGTAAAATCCCTGTTAAGGTTTAACATATTTGAAGTTCAGCTAAGCGCTGAAATAAAAGGGAAGTCCCAATATTGTTTCATTCAAAATAAATGAAATCTGATCTAGATGCACTCATAGCTAAATAAAATGAATATATGCTACATAAAAAGAGCGTGTGAAGAAATAAATATTCAAAAAAAATTTAACCGTAAGCCTTATAAGGGTAACGATTTCTTAAACAGTTAAAATTAGTTGACTTCAATGCGTGAGATCTGCTTAGAGTTAAAGCGCAGCTTAACAAAGTTCGCATAATTGTTTCACTTTGAACTGAGCACAGCAACAACTGCTGGTAATTAAGCAGGTAGCTGAACGGTTCGCTCTTATGGCTAGATCAATATTAATTATGCCAACACCTTTGCTTGACAGTTTTCCGGAGCGGTCAACAGACGTGTAAGACTCGCATTGATTAATCTGTTGACTCAGCAACATAAAGTGCTGTTGGCTGTGCTGCTGCTGCTGTGTTGTTGCTGTTGTGGTTGTCGTTTAATTAATTAACTTGCCACCGACAACAGCAACAGCAGCAACAGTAACAACAACAACAACAACAAGAGCCAGAGGCCGCGCTTGTGTAATGCTTGGGTTAATTTGTTGACAGCCCATTTACACATTTGAGTTTTGCTTTACATACGCGCCAAGGTGTTGATGGATACGCTGGACAGCTATAGATACGTATGAGAAGTGAGGATGTATCTACAAGATACTCGCACTTACCAGCGTGTGCAGCAGGCCAAGATAATCACAACAATTAAATGCAAATGGCAATGACGCGACGGCGGCTGTGCGGCAACAAAGTTGTTTCCTCCGTTGTTGTTGCACGTTGTTGTTGCCGTTGCTGTTGCCGTTGTTGCTGCTGTCGCTGTTGCTGTTGTTGTTGCTTGCCACGCAGTCATCGCTCGGCTTTGATTTGCATAAATTTTCATACAATTGAAGCCAAAATTCTAGTGGCAGCACATTTTTGTTGCTTTTGTTGTTGCTGGACACACAAGTTAGTTGCTTAGTTGTTGCTGTTGCTGTTGTTGTTGTTGTTGTTGTTGAGCTGGCTTGCCGCAGCCATGCAACAGCAAACATTTTGTAGTACACATTGAAGCAACACTGCAGCTCGGCTTGCTTGCCACTTTACATATTCGTAGCATAGTTTAAACAATATTTTTGCCTATTCAAATTATGTAAATATTTTTTGTTTTTTTTTTTTTTAATAATTTTTTATTTGCTTTCAATTTTTCACATATTGTGCACAATTTCGGACCACGTTGAACATTTCTGCTTGCAATTTTTTACAGCCACATTTTCAGCTTGAATTCCGAACCGCCGATCGTGACCAAAGCGCCAATAAACATTGATCGTTCGGCTTTGGCTCTGCGCTCAGCTCTCCGGCTACTGGCTAGCTGGAACACCTTTTTTTCTTGTAATATTTGTTTGTTACCTTCTTTTTGTTTTTATTTTATTTTATTTTATTTTTTCTTATGTTTATTTACTGCGCTTTGCCGCTCGAGCTGGTCTGATTGGTCTGCACTGCGCGTTGCAGTTTTTTTATTCTTTTCATTTTTCTTTTTACGTTACACGAACTTTGCTTCTGGGTGGCTTTTCTTTCATAGGTCTGAGAATTGAGTTTGATTCGCTGCACTTTTTGTGTTGGCGCTTGTGGTTTTTTGTTCGTTTTGCTGGCAATTATTTGTGTGGGTTTTATGATATTTAAATTGTTGTTTATGCTTTAATAATGCGTGTGAATTTTAATATTTATTTATTGTAGGCATTCTTTCAAACGGAATTTTACGTTCACTATTTTGTTGTTTTATTAAAGTCCTTAAAGTCCTTTTCGGCTGGCGTAATTATTTATTTCACTTTGATAACTGTTTTATTTATTTTTACTAGTTGCACCCGACAGCAAAAAGATAAATATATATAGATTCAGATTCAGGTTCGCAATTTGCATTTCTAATTATTCAAGTTTTACTAATATTTTAATTTTAATGTATTGTTTTTATTTGAATTAAAATTTACTTTTAATAAACATATTTAATTATGTTTAATAAAATATTATGTAATTTTTAATTATATTGAAATTAAATCCACATTACATTTTTGCTTGTTTTCTGCTTTCTTTTTTATTTATCTAACATCTTTATTTAAGTTTGCGATAATATTTGAGCGTGTTGAAAATGTATAAAAGATTTTCACAATGCTTTATTTTATTAGAATTTAAAATAAAATAACTTTTTTGCAATAATATATTTCTTTGATTGATTTATTTTTAATTTATTTTTCTATTTATTGCACAGTAATATAATATTTGTTCGTTAATTTGACGAATGCCACGCACAAGACTCAGGACCAAGACATCCTGTCACCGAAACGCGCCGCACGACTATGAGAGGAGAACCGAGTGCGACAGGCTCTAAATGCAAATTAAAATCAAAAATTGAAACAGAAACGCTTGAAGCAGCGTCCTGCCTCGTCCTGTGCGTCGCAGTGTGCGTGTTGCTTGTTATCCTTGCAACGACATCGCCTGCGTCGTGTGGCAAGTTTGATAATGAAGTTGATGTTGATGATGATGATGCTGATGCTGATGCTGTTGATGGAGATGAAGATGTTGCCGTTATGCGCGTGCCTTGACTGACGTGCGCCCGTCCTTGGGGTGGCTGCTCCTGTCGTGCTCCTGCTGGCTGCGCAGCGACTGGCTGGCGAAAGTACAATACATCAAAGGGCACACACAGCCAGCCACATTGAGGCAGGGCTGCCAGCCGAAGCGATTTTGCCAGTCGCCTCGTGAATTTATCGCATGCGAGACTCGCCGATTCGCAATTGAACCCCCACCCACAACAACTCAGATAATGCTCCATTGACTTTTTGTTTTTGTTGCACTTGCGGCCTAATTAACCCAAAATGCAATCCGATGATTAAGGACTTAGTCGCCGCACCCAACCCCTTGTCACCCTTGACACCTGCTGAACCCCGTTTCGTTTGTTTAAGGCGCTAGCTTAAAGAGCCTTAAAAAAAAGGAAAACTGATTAAGTGGCATTGTTGTTGCGGGGGCAAGGATACAAGGACACACGGCCGAGTACCACTTCTGCTGAACATCAAAGGATTAAAGCGACTGCAACAACAAAAGTGAAAACTGGCGCAGCAGTCGCTTTCATATTCTGCTCAAGGACTCCAATTATTGCATTCGTTGCCTTTGTTGTTGTTGTCTTTGAAATATGCTAATTTGTGTGGGAGTGGCTGACAATGGGTCGAGCAGGGGGCGTGGGTGGTTGGAAGAGAGGGTTGACCTTACAACGACAAAGTGTCGAGAATAAGGCAATTGATTCGCGTCTACTTCCTAGTTTCTCAGGGCAAACGCTAAGTAGCGAAAGGACCTCGAATGTGGGTCGCGTGTGTGCATGTGTGTGTGTATGACGGCGAGTGTCTGAACTTAACCCTCTTTGACTTTTCACTTGCTACTTGTTACACTTCAAAGGATGCGACTGCGGCCAAGTAACACTTGTTGCCAGCTGGTTGCTCTACAAATTGTGGCAGCATGCCATGCAACATCTCCTGCAGCATAACATATGTGTTGCTTATCGTTAAGTGCACATGGCACCTACCTTTTGTTACATACAATAAGAGCAATTGTTGCTTTTATGTTAACATATCTTAACATGAAATTTAACATGGTATGTTAACATGCGTACTCAAGCTTGATTAACTTATATGCTTCGCATGGAACTTTTAATTATGTATTATCAATTGAATTAGAAATTAAATTAAACTTCAATAACAGTGGACTGGGGAATTCTTCTGTTCTAACAGGAAAGTCATATACTTTGCTGTTAATATGTTAACTTACACTTAACAGAAAGGTATACAATAATGTTGCCAATTTATTGTAATTCAATTAATTAAGCAGCATTATTATTAATCAGATTGCCAGTTTGTAGAAGAACATAATTTCGCAATAAATGGTAGACTTCATATCATATTTTGGCCAGTTAGCTCTCATTAAACACATCCGTTAACGAATGAAACCATATTCGTTTCCCAGACACTGACAGAGGCCCACACTCTCTGAGCTGCGCTGACCACAACAACAGCAACCGCAACAACAACAAATTTGAGCATCTCTTTACCGCATGCAATTGCCATGAATCACCATCACCTGGCTGCGGCTGTGGCTGTGCCTGCGGCTGAGGCTGAGGCAGGGGCTTCAGCTTGAGGTTCTCTACTGGCTCTGGCTGGCGGCACATCCATCAATGTGCCGTTGACATTTGCTGCGCTGTTGACAAGAATTGTCACAATAAACAATACAACCACGACAAGCAGCAGCGGCAGCAGCAGCAGCAGCAGCAGGAGGAACAACAACCACAGGAATAATGATAGCGGATAGAAGGGACGGACACGGCCACGTGACATGGCGGGAGGAGTAGACAGCAACATGATGATTAGTTTGGTAAGTGGCAGCAAGAGGAGTGCGCATAAATTACCAAAAGGATTAACCAACAACAAGCCCAGACAGCTGAAAATGGAACTGGCATTGGAACTGTAATCGCAAAGGGGTTGCCCTTGTTATTGCTGGGCATGAAAAATGTTCAGTGAACTGTAAGGGATTCCCAGCTCTCGGTTAGCTCAGGGGTAAGGGGTTGCCATTGAAATTAAAATCAGATCAATTTCACAGATATTAACATATTTTTGCGCAGGGCAAGTGTTGATATCTCAGTTGGTTTAAGTCCCTAACAATTGGGGGTTGCTTTTGTTTCAGCTGTGTTTATGCCCGCGCCCAAAAGGGTATTTCAGGGTATATTAGCTATAGGCGCATAATTGAAAATAACTATTTTAATTATCTTAAGATTGTAATTTAAGAAAAACTAACCTATTTGAAATGGAGGTGTCCTATCTTTTCTATGTAAATTATTCTTAAACACATTCATAGAGACAGTTAGTTCTACTCCTGAGTTTGGGTATTTGTACAATCGACTACCACATGACATTTATTTTTTATTGTACATGCAATTAGTGCCAGGGGTTGAGGGTTGCCTGGCCTTGTTGTGCCCATTAGTTGATAGATATTACAAAAGATTTGTCTTAATGATTTTCATTATATGTCAATTCCCACGCCCGTACAGACATGATTTTTACCACAATTTAGCATAGATTTTCATTGATTTTCATAGTTTTTAAAGCTCTTGCAATGATATTTGCAGCTGCGCCTTCGAGTCCAAAACAATTTGTGCTCATTAAAAGGAAAAATTCAAGAAAAAAACAAAATTTTAATGGCGTTGCCCAGGGTTACACACATTGAAAAGGAAAGCCAGCCAGAGTGAGACAGAGCAATGTATATGGAGCGAGAGAGAGAGAGAGGGAGACAGATAGAGACCCCATTATTTAGTTAATTTTCGGTTTTTTGTTGTTGCTGCTGCTGTTGAATTTAATTAACTCAGAGACGACGTTCATAAATCCCGACAAACATTTCAAAATGACGCAAATTTTGCGCTGAAATATTTTGCGCAAGTAAGAAATAAAAATAAAAATAAAAATTAAGCGAAAATTAATCAAAGTAATTTCCGAGGAGAGGCCCCTCCCCGCTCTTGCCACCGCTTGAGCCCAACACAACCGACATACGACATAACAAACATAACTCGACGCATTCCACTGGCCAAAGTGGCACAAGGTAAGGCCAAAGTTAAAGCCAAACTTAAAGCTAAAGGGCTACCAGGCCCGATTCGAGGCCCGATTCGAGCGCCGTTCCGCTGCCTTGTGTGTGTGTATGGGAAAAATTCCGTTGGCCTCCAATCAGTGCACGCAGTTTGCATTGCTCTGACATGAAAAAGAAATCAGTGCAACGTTCGTACTGCCCTGGGATGCTATATGTTAGTATGGGTTGTTTGGCATGGTCTCGGATCGGGCTGGGGCAGGGCGCACTCTGCCTCTCTGTCTCTTTCACTGTCTCTGTCCTCTTATCGTCGCTGACCAGTCAACAGTTGACCGAATGTGTGGGAAAATTTTTCATTTTTAATTGCACTTTGGCCAAGTCGCTTGAACGGCTGTTCAGCCTCGCTGGCTAACTGGCTAACTGGCTGGCCAAAATTTAAAGCGTCTGCGCCTGTGCATTAAAGAGGCTTCTGATGCTGCGGCTGCTGCTGC